TTATATTGCTGTTATAAGATGTTTGACTTATTTATAAGTTTAGATAAATATTCAATGAAAAAAGTCTGAATTTCCTCCCTTACATACTTTTATCATAAAAATATGGAATGTGGAATAAGTTGTAACATGTCTTATTGATTTTTTTTTTTTTTTTTTTTTTTTTGAGAATCTGTCGTAGTTCCATGTATGTTTGGAATGTGGGGGTTGTAGTTCAGTGTGTACTTTCTGCTTTCCATGCTTTTTTTAAAACATATTTAAAGTTTATAATAGTGCTTTTGTATGAAATGTCATCGTGTATCTGTAGCATGTGTTTGCTGTTGATTAGTTAATTTGATTAACAAAGAGGTACTTTAATACCAAATACAAAAAAGGAACTTTTAAAGAAGCTTTTAAAAACTTTTAAAAAAGGAACTTTTAAAGCTTATGTACCTTTTTAAGACTTGAGGATAATTTTGAAGCACCCCATAGTCTGCTGTTTCTTGGAATTTTGAATTCACACTGAATCGATATATTCAGCACTTTTATGTACTAAATGTAAACATCTGGAATGTGAAATAACAGTATATCTGAATGTATTGTGCTGTCAAGTGTGGTGGCAGAAGCAGCATGGTTTGGCCTGTGACCCAAAGTTCTGTAAGTAGGTTGATGCTGAGATACATCTTGTTATTTATTTTAACTCTTTGCGGAAGATCCCATTTCTGTATCAAAAAATTACTCTTCCATCCACATAATGAAGCCTGTACTTCTATGATTTGAAAAGATTGGTGTTGGAAACTGAATTGACCTTCACAGAGTCATGACTTGAATACCTGTTGAGTACCTCTGAGGAAAAATGATTACAGTGTATGCATTTGGCTAAACCTTCCATCTTCAATAGCTGCTTTTATTGCAGCTCTGACAAGCAAATAAAATTATTTTCCTGTGGACATGGGTCAAAATATGATGGAAAGTTTTTCCCATGTGATACAGGCTGTGACTAATTCAAATGGATGTCTGGCATCTTATGAATTACATGTGACATCAGTCTTTGTCTGATTCTACAACATAGTTTGACTTTATATTTTTGGCAATATACTGTATTTGGCTAATGCAAATTTAGCATCAGAAATAAGCAGTTTGCATATTAAAAGAACAGCTATGAATGTTAGCAGTGCTGAGTAAATTTAATGGTTAGATAGTTATTTATTAAACATTTATCAGAGAAACTTGTTTTTACAGTATCTTTGCAAAGTTTTACTGTTATATTCAGCTTTACATTGTTATAATGTTTGTACATCATGACATTTTACTTTTCATTACAATGTTAGCATTATTAGTGCTATGTTAAGACATCACATAAAAGGAAAGTTCCAATTTATTTATTTGATGTTTGGGGAATTCATCATTATATCTGCATTTTTGTGATTAGTTACGAGCTGTGAGACCAATACTTTAAAATAAGAGTGCACTAACTGTAATAAACATTACTAAGCATAAAAAATGTTTGGGAAAATTTTCTGTCAGTAGATTTCTGTAACAATTTTTTTCGACAGCAGCTTCCTTTATACCACCTGTCAGTGTATTTAGTGTATTCTTCCTTTTGAATATGTTTGAATTCTGGTTTTAAGAAATTTAGTTGGTCAATTTTGCAGTAAGTATACTCCAATTAATTTTAGTTGAATATTATTTGTTGCCTGTTAAATCTGACCAGGTTTTTCCATTGACCTCTGAATCCCACTTATCCATTTTGAAAATCTGAATTCTTTGAGATTTCTACAGTTTTTTATGAAATTTTGTTTCTCTAGTGTATTCTTTAAGGAGGAGGGAAATGGGTTAAACTTCACAGTTCAATCCAATTGCAACAAGCACAGGTTTATATTCTGTTATCTGGAGTTTAGTTAAAGGCATTATTAAAGATATTATTTTAAAGATATGCATTCCTTTTTATTGCTTGTATTTTTTTTTTTTAATTTTTTATATTTTGTACTGATAATTTTTGTGAATGTTTTGCTGGGCAGTACTTCTTACCTTCCTTTTCATGTGTTTATTTTATGTAAGAAGCAGAACTGTTTTAACTCGTCTTTATTGTAGCTTGTTATATTTTGTGGGATCTTAAACCACAGAATTTTTTGAGAAACTACAAATATAGTTAATTCTCAGTCCCTGAATTTAAATAATTACTGATATCCTATTTCTGCATCATTTACCTAGGATAATTATTACTTTGTAGTCATAAACATATTTTGATGTCATAATACAGTTATTGCTGTAACTTAGTTTCTGAAACATCCAAAATCTCATCATGTGATGCTCATTATGAAACTGCTATCTCTCTGTTAATGACCAGCATTGAAACCAAGAAAATGTACCAGTTTAAAATTTGGCAAAATTCATTCTTGGATTTTAAATGCATTATTTTGAGGTGAAATATTTTTGTTTTGGCCTTCCTGCACTGATATTTTCAAACTTTTTTACAGTAGGGAAAGTCTTTAAATGCATGTTGTGAATTCCACTGATCGCAGCATTCATTGCACTTTTGAAATCGAATATGTCATTGTAGCCTTTGTTTTTGCTACTTTATTCTTAATCAAGAAATGAAATATTTCTTGTGTATTGTTGCTTGCTGTAGCAACATGCAAGAAGCAGCTGTGGTCAGTAAATAGCTGTGTGGACACGTTTTTCCTTTGTCCTAATTATAAAACTATTTAAATATTTTGTTACTCATAAAAATCATTGTCATAAAATGTACTATTGATCACATCATTCATTTTCTCCCTTCTGTTGGTTATGAGAGAATCTGAAATCTTCCTAAATTCTATTTCCGAGTTATTTGCTCTTGTTTAAATATACTTCCAATTTTTGAACTTAGTGTTCTCTTCTAAATTTCATTGCTTGGAGAGCTTATAATATTCCTTTTTTTGTTCAGATTAACATACATTTCCCTTATTAATAAAGCTTTACTATTTCATATTAATGAACGCAAGTCTTGAATAGAGAAAGAGAAAATTAATAAGCATTAAATGTCTAATCATTATCGGTCACTCTGCCAATCTTCTAGCTTTCAGCTTCTCAAAAATTATCTGCTAAATTTCGTGAAGCTCTCTTATTCATTAAAGTAATTATTAAGGAATATTTGTACTTCTTCTTTTTCAGCATTATTTCATAACAGTATCTAATAACTTTTTGTCTTATCTTAGAGATGCTGTTGATCAAACTTTATGTGGAATTAGGTAATAAATTGAATTTGGTTCATTTAATTAAAGCCCATGCTTGCTTTTAAAATAAATGATCCATTCTTTCCTCCTAATTTTGTTCAATAAATTGATGTTGTTTTGTGTATTTCAATATTTAAGTAAGATATCCCATTTAATGATTTTGTGAAATTGAATTTTGCTAGATTTTAAATTTTGTCATATCTTAATCATAGCAAGATATGGCTCATGATATATTTCTCAAAAGACAGATTTCCCATGTACACTGCCCTCCAAATGTTAAGAAACAGCATTTTTTTTGGGGGGTGTCTTATTTGAGAATGAAGCAACATAGGAACAAAAAATTTATAGGACTTGTTCACTGAACATTTCTTAAATGACTGCGACATAGAATGTTTCCAAAGTTCAATACAAACATGAATTACAACAAAACATTGCACTCCTGGCAGAGAAATCCAGTCTTGGAGAAGCAGTATGTCACAGGATTTTGAGGGAAAATGGGTTCTAATAAAGAGTGTGGCCACTCCTAGTTGCAATACATTGGTGGTCGCGACATTCTATGCTGTCAATAAAATTGTTCTTCAGTGAAATGGGAAACAACGACCAGACACAGAGTAATTCTTGTTCAAGCTCATCTAACAACCTTGGAGGAGGACTTAAAGCAGCAACCTGGATTGAGCTGTACATTCCATCTGCTCCATACCGTTGATCCTCAGGATATTCTTCAGCAACCAGAGCTCGGTGCGATCGAACATTGTTGTCCATCAGAAGAAATCCAGGACCAATAGCAGTGGCTTACGTATTGATCAAGGATCTCTTCTATATCTCACACCACTCAAAGTTCCTCCATGGAACACATGCAGGTCAGTGTGACCACTGAGAGAGATCCCAGCCCAAACTATTATTCCACACCCTCTGTAACTGTGTCTTTCCACTATGTGGGATTGGTTGTATCTGGTGCTTTGTTCCCTCCAGATCAGCTGACAACCTGAATCACTCTCCAGTGTGAACCTGGACTAGTTTGTGAAAAGAACTGAGGCCTATTGTTGACTGGCCCAAGAGACATGTTCTCTTGCCCAACATAAACGGGCATCTCTGTGTCCTTGGTGAAGGGAACACAAACAACTTGTTGTCTTGTTTGCAGACCTGTATTGTGCAGGCTTCTGCGCACTGTTCTTGCCGAGATTCTTGTTCCAGTTGCCACTAAATGATCCGCCATGAGCTGAGTTACGTTAATGATACTCCTTCTTTGGGTTGAAATAGCTAAATAACGGTCTCCCACAGATGTTAGTAACTCTAGGTCTGGCAGGAACATGTCTTCTAAACACAGAATCCTCATATTCAATCTGGTTCCATAGTGTGTGGGCGATACTATGAGAGATATTTAGATGTCTAGCAGCACCAGCTTGCGAGATCCCCATTTCCAACTACCGGATCACCCACGACCTCCGTAAATTAGGCAAACGACTTTTGCTGGACATTGGTAGACTCTCCTAGATATTGTCTATGAAACTGTAATAAAAGCTGAAAATCTACACTCGTGAACAAAAATTACAATTTTTGCAATTTTTCCTCAAATTTCTGTATAAGTATTCATTTCTATAAAATAAACATACTAGCTATTGTTTTTGCATATATTTTCTTAAACTTCATTACTGTCATGCATATGAACTGTGAGTTTAAACATTACTGACATTTTTGTAATGGTGAGCTTTGAAAAACATGCTGTTCCTTAATTTTTGGAGGGCAGTGCACTTTCAATTATGCAACAATTGGAAATAAATGTGGGAGACTTTTAATGTCTTCTAGGTTTTAGCCCAGCAAAGAGCGGAGCAGCAGCGATTAGCTTCTCAGAATTCCAATCCAGACATCCCTGTTGACCCTACAAGCTTTATACAGACATTACCACAAGGTTTAAGACAACAGGTAATTATGATAAAAAATTAATGTGCATGAATGGCTTATGTTCTCACTGGACTGAAAATAAAGTGAGAAAAACAGCCACACAATTGTGTGAAATACACATCTTCCTTATAAAATTCCTTTTCTGTGATTAACAGTGTAAATCACTCATAATTAATTATCTGCATGACAGATAATAGCAAAATTTCTAAATGTTAAGTAAAAATGTCATTCTACTGATTTAATTGCTAGTTAGCTTTTAATATTAAAATAAACTTTGGTCCCTAATATCCTTTTTCTGTGGTATTGGCACTCACAAACTAAAATGTTTATTTTCTGAAAATTAAAAACTTAACAGTTGTTATAATTATCTTTGTATTTAATTTGCCCTCTCTTGCCTGGATACTCAATTTGTTTGTTATTTATATCTTGTATATTGGTTATATTTCAGTTTTTTTTTTAATTTTTTTTTTTTAATCTGAACAGCCATGTTCAGAATATTGTTATTTTATTCTTCATTTATTAGAGTGATCTGAATATAAGTTTTGTGTATTTTAACTGCTATGTATTTATGAACATGAAGTTTACATTTTATATAATAATGTGCTGATGAATTGGAGTCCACACAGTTAAAATGAAGTTTAAAGAAAATGAAATAGTGTAAGTTGACAGACTAAAAACCACATGTAAATATTGGTAAGTTAGGAGCATTTGCTTATGGCATATCTGCTTTTTCAATTGGAATCTTGGTGAATAGTTGAATCAAATTACTCTTCTTCTTGCATTCTGGAACATTGATGTGACTGAGAGGAAAGCTTACATTACAACATGATGTTATGGTGATTTCTAACTTTGCTTCTTTTGTGTTGGAGTTTGTTCAGGATTTCAGCAACCATTTGGTGACTGACTTTGGATTCTCGAAGGAATACTTTATGAAAGTGCACTTTTCATTGTTGTATTAGCTGGCAGGCGGTTTATGGATATCTTTCTTACATTTGGCAATTTTTATTCATAATTTTCTAGATGGCAAACTAGTTTACATATTTCACAAATAGGGATGGTATGCACTCAATGATACTTAAATACTAAGTATGGATTACACAATAGGTAGTAGGTGGGGTAGGGATGGTTTTTAAACAATTGGTATAATACAAAATATGAATTTGGCAAAATCAACCTTGATCTCGATTACAGTACAGCACATCATTTCATACAGATCAAAGCTTAGGAAGAACATTATACATTCAGACCTTTAGTAAACAGTATATTTCCAGCTTTGAGCAAATCTGAGTGAAAGCTTGTCTAGCACTGAGACCATGCATAATAACCTTAAAGTACTACATACCAAATGTACATTATACAAGTGTATTTCATGTGCACTTATTCCAAAAGCAGTCAGCATTATTATATACCATCAGTGTAAATATTTGGTTTCCATCAACCCCTTTATTTGAATCCTAAATTATTTTGGTGAAACTAAGCAAAAGACTTTGGTAGAAAAACTAAGAATTGCATACAAATTTATCAAGGATATATGATGCTTTCCATTTCATTTATAACTGTAGGGTATAGGAATAATAAGTAAATAACAGTACCTTTTTATAAAGGCATCAGTGTCATTTATTTTGGCCAAGATTTATGTGTAACACATAGAAAATTGTTGAGTGTTCAAATTTTCTAAAAATCATGATGATAATATAATTTAATGTAAATATTTTGATGAACTTAAAGCATGTGTTTAGTTATCTCAGAAAACTTCCCTAATTTACAGTTTGTACAATAGCATTCAGTTTCTTGATCTTTTGATTTTAAGAACTGGTGCCATTACTGCACCTGGTACGAACTGGTTACTTTATAAAAAATTGCAACAAACAATAGACAACCACCCAATTCTTAAAAAAAAATTAATGTTAATTCAGAAGAAAAAGGTTACTAGCAATCCAAAAATCAACAAATAAATTCATTAAAAAAATCCTCTACTGGACCATTACCCCATACATCTATTCTGTTTTCAGATATACAGTACACTCACGATTATCCGCGGAATTGGGTGGCGCGGCCGCTGCGAATAACAAAAAACGCGGATAATCCGAAAAAAGCTAAAAATGGGTATAGCAAAAGATGAAACAGTCATTTGAACTTTGAAACAATAATACGTGAAATAAAAAGCAGGAAATGTTTAACTAACGCTTAATATTTTAGTATATCGCTCAAAACTAACCTAAAATGCATTTTGTTAATGAAAACAGAAAAGTGCTTTATATACTTACGAAAGGCGTCAAGGATACAAAGAAAAATTAATACATGTACTGTTTTAATACTGTAATGTATTATGTAATTACAAAAGCATAACTGTAAAACTACACCTTTTTGAAGAAATCAGTCATTTGTGTTTGCTTCTTGCTTTGGAAGCATTTTCTCTTGATCCGAGATTGCATTTTCTGTAACATAAGTTCTCGGCCAACTCCGGGTCATCTTGCTCTCCCAAATAGCTTAGCAGTCCGTCAACTTGTTGCAAAGCTGCTTCATGAGCCTTCCACATCTGCACAGTGGGTTCTTCTTTGCCTTCACTTCACTCTCCTTCATTCTCGGTCTCTCCCCTTGCTTTCTTCACAATTTCGTCATCTGTCAAGCGTTCGAAGCCAGGTTCATTGACGTCACACTCCAACCACTCATTAATGTTTTCGGCATCGACGTTCTCACCACCCGGAACTGTTTTCGCCATATCGGCGAGAGTTGCCATAGGCGTGTCTACATCTTCATTCTCTTCCTCACAACTCAAAGGGGTTAGGTTGTTGCTGGCTTCAACATAAGGCATGTGTTTTCTCCATGATTTTATGAGGGTTGACGGTTTCACCAAGTCCCATGCAGATGCAATATCGCAGATGCTGTCCAAGATTATGTAGTGTTTCCAAAACTTTTTCAGATCATAACCTTCTTCAATTTTGGTCATTAGCAACTTGGTTCAGGTATGTTCTCTTCATTGTTGCAATGACTCCTTGGTCCATGGGTCGGATTAGTGCAGTAACGTTTGGGGGGGAGAAACTTTGCAAGACTTTAGCACGCTTGTTGCTGGCTGAGAAGGTGCGTTGTCGATCAATAGCACAGCTATTTCAGGCAGGTTTTTCGGTTTAAGATGTTTGCGCACTTGAAGAACAAAGATTTTTTCGAACCATTCTTGAAAAATGTTTCGGTTCATCCATCCTTTTTTTTTTTTTTTTTTTTTTGGTTAAAGTAATAAAGTAATCAATGGGCAAATTTTCTATCCTTGTGCCTTTGAAAGATCTCGGTTTTTTTAAGTTTCCAATGACAACAAGTCTAAATTTATGTCCACTGGTACAGTTACTGCAAGACATGATAGTGATCCTTTCCTTGCTGCTTTTATAACCCACCGCTTTACCTTCATTTTCAAATGCTAAAGTCGGAGTGGGAAGACATTTTCACAAAAGTCCCGATTCGTCGGCATTGTAAATTTGTTCAAAGCTCTTCTTTTAAAACAAATTCTTCAAATACATGGTGGAAATCGTCGGCTGCTTGTTGGTCACCACTATGTTTCTCCCCATGAAGTCCAATTTCTCGAATTCCATGTCGCTGCTTAAAACGAGTCAACCAGCCAGAAGACACATCAAAATTACCTTTCAGGCCTAACAACTCAAAAAGGTTTTTGCCTTCGACGCAATGATAGGACGATTTACAGGAGTACCCTATTTTCGAACTTGAGCTAACCACTCTGTCAATGCTGTGTCTAGCTCATCAAAGGTAGAACCCTTCATAGTTTTTCGTGATTTCGTTGCGGAAGCACTGTCCAACATTGATGCAAAGTTCACCAGTTTGTCTTTTTGTTTTAGAATCTCGCGCACTTTTGTTTCCGCGATTCTGTAATCCAATTCCATCTGCTGCCTTGTAGCGCTGTTTGCTACTTTGGAAATTAATTCTAGTTTTTGCACAATCGTCAACACAACCTTGTTTAGTTTTCCTGACATTTTAAATTGCTAAAGAAAAACAAAAGCACAAGCACTGAACATAATAACTAACTCCGACCGGTTCGCAAACACTATCAAGCTTAAACTAACAATGGCGAGTGGACGTGTCAGTAAGGATAAGAGGAGAGAGGGGGTGGAGCGGGCACTGCAAGGGTGAGTAAGAAATCACTCATCAGAGGGGAAGGTTCCGAGAAGGCCTGGGATATTTTTGCCATAAATAAGCACGAAGTTAGCAAATGTAACTTTTCGCTCAGTTTCGTGAGCATTTTTATTTTCTTTGCTTTACGCTTGTAAAAAAAAAAAAAAATTTTGCGGCAGGCGCAGATTATCCGCCCCGTGGATATACTTCCCATAACCCCAGCTTTATCAGTCTTGAAACTGAAATGGACAAATCACACCCTCAGCACAATAGACATATCAGTTGTGATTATCATTCCCATCCACAATCAAGATATGTATACAGAAAGGCACTTTAATGGTTTGCCATCTAGAAGATTATTATTATGAATTCCCAAGCATAAGAGAGTTAGAATATCCTCTAATCAGTACAAGAAAGAAAATAGCACATTTCTGGTAAAATATTCTTTGGAACATCTAAGCGGAACATATGAATGGGACAAAACAGAAATGTCTTGAACAAGTGCTGCCATAAAACTAAAGAAGCATTAGAATTTCCCACAAAATAATATTGCAATAGAGACCTTTTCAGTCTGTCATACATTTGTATGTCAATCCTCAAGAATACAGCAACCCCATGTTAAGGAACCTTGCAGGAATGAAAGGAGGAAATTTTATTGATCTATTCACTTGATACCAATTGATAAAGCAAATGGACTGTCAACAAAAATGCTTAATTTTCGAGTGTCTAAACCTGCTTTTTTAGCATGTTAGACTGAAATCTAATCATACTAATTATGTGCAAATTTTTCTCTGTACCAGCTTAAAGATTGATCTCCCAATCGCAATTTTGTATTTTTTCCCCCATAATCTTTTAATTAAACTGTCTTGTGTTTTCTCTAAATTTGTTCCTGCCAGATAAAT